AAATACTTTCTTCAAACCTTTCTCAGTTTGTAAAAAAAATAAAAATCATAGTTTTTCTAGTGTCAATTTTTTTTTCTTCCCAAATAAATTTTTAATGACAGCCTTAAGTCTTGCCTCTCCTGTGTATTTTGGGGCATGGATAACTAAATAAAAATAAAGCCCAGCAGAAAGCAATTTTAGTAATCTTATATTTAGCCTTAGTGAACAGTATTCCTCAGAAACCACAAACAAGGTATAGTCCATCGAAGAAAAGCTTTCAACAAAGTTAGGCTGTATACTGAAATAATCTTTGAACTAACACCTCTGAAGATGTGCAGAACAACCTTACAGGCAGCAGTCGACTGAGCCTTGTCCATGGGGTAATGCAGAGCCTGAGTTAACAGTACTGCAGATCATCTATTTTTCATATATTAGAACAACTGCACTTCCTCTAAATCTCATAGAACTAAAACTTCCCTGCAAAAGAGATCACTGTATGTGACACTTGACAGTTGCATATTTTAAAGTGTATGTATATAGAAACTTCTTTATCTACCTGTGCTTTCCGCACACATTCAGGCTCCTATGAGCACATTATTTGTGTGTTTGTGTTTGTGCGCATATACTGTAGATGCAGATGGATACAAAGTGAGATGTGTATGCATGATAAATATATATATATATTTGAAGGGGGAAAAGAATTTATAGGATATAATATATGGCCAATTTTGTCTGCTTGTATTTAGCACTTAAGGGCTTATATACTCAGTTTGCTCAAAAGAGTGAAGAAGTACTCCTTGCTTATGCCTCAAATCAGAAATGCATGAAGTGCAGCTGCAGAGATAATACATTCTCCCCAAAGGCTTTGGCTGAGCAAATTAGGTGTCAATGGGGTGCCTGCGCAGGCAGTACTCTCTCTAATTAGTCTCTTGAGCCTAGTTGGTGGCAGGTATAAGATGATCTAATCAATTGGTCTGTGTCTGATGGTACGTGTAAAAATCCTAGCAGGCAGAGCTGTCTCCCACAGGTCACTCACCTGCACAGCAGGAACGCTCATTTTCATTTTTCATCTTTTCCAGCACATGATGCTGACAGTTAGTTTTAAGAAAATTGAATCCAAAAAATATCTAGTTCATAGGGCATGTAGGTCAAAATAAAGTTGCATTATGGGTACTGGTGATCCAATTAATTAATATTTATAGCAAGGAGTTGCATGTAGATATTATCTGAATGCAAACAGTATTGATAATATTTGGTTGGCTTTCTAAAATGGCTTCTCTAACACAGATAGGAATAAAAGGTGTGGAAAAATCACCTGTTAATAGTACCCTTTTTTAGAGAGAGAATAAACCGTATGTGGTGTGTGCATGTGTGGTGGAGGGAGAAGCAGAATGAATATATTGGTGATGATCTTAAATACCCCCGTGTTTCAACTCAGAGAGAATACAGTATCTCCAGTTGTCAGCTCATATTTTCACTTTAAATCTGGCATTGTAGAATGAATACTCTTACAATAATGCTAAATCAGCTGCCACATAAATAGACCTGCACTGTGAGTGTGCTTTGCATGCTAAGGACTCTGCGGGAGCACAGCTCCGCCCTCTGTGATAATTTATGCAAAAATTAAAAGCACCTAGAGAAGGATGCTGATGCTGCCAAAAGGAGCATGTATTGAATTGGTGAGCTGCATTTTTACAGGAAATTACATTCTTCTATTAATTAAAATAAAAATATTTGGGATTTAGTCATCCTCCTCTGCCTCATGTCTTGAGAGCATGATTAATGTTTAAATTACAAGCTTCAGTATCCCTTCCTAGCACCACTGTTACATCAAGAGCTACTGCATTCTGAAGTTGGTGTCTGCCATTTTTAAAGTGGGCTAACACCTTATTTTATCCCACTTGGGATCTGGGACAAACAGGATGTATGCAACAGATGATTTTTCTAGATAACAAACATACAATTGAGTTACTTGATTTAGGTCACTTGATATTTCAAGCACATCATTAACTACCAGGTTTAGTAGAGATGTCATGAAAACAAAAGTACCTGGACCTGTGTTTAAAAAGTACAAGCGCATTTTAAAAGCAGTCTGTTACATTTCAGATTTTGTTGTTGTTTTCTGTTTGTTTGGGTTATTTAAGGAGTTCTGAAAGAACCCTATTTAGCTTTTGGGAAATCACAACTTGTAAATATTCCATTTAACAATTTATGCTTTTATAAGCAAAGCTGTGACCAGAGGCCATAAACACAATCTGCCAAGTCACCAGGCAGGACTTGGCTTTGTATGATCAGGAAAATGTATTAGCAAGGATATTTCTAAATTATGTCTTAAAAAATGCAAACATGGAATACTAAGCCATCTGGGAATAGAATGGCAGCACTGTGTGGAGGGCCCTGCCTCAGGTTTTGGTTGTGTCAATAACTGACGTTTCAGTTCAAGAGCCTCACTGAAGAAACAGTGGTTTTTTAATAACAAGATTGGTTCACAGCAGTCTAAAATTTCATGTTTGCTTTATTGTGAATTTTCTGCTGTGGACAAAGAGACACCCTGCTCTTCCTCCAGTCAAGGGATGCTATTTGATGTGAGTCTCCTCTGAAACAAAAGCAAAGAGAAGAAGGTCTGCTGTACCACAGCACAGTGATTACCGCACTCCTCTGAGAACTGGCATATTGGTATTCAGTTTCTTCCTGTGTCTCAGGATAGTTAGACCACTGTTCCCCATTGCTCCATGAGGGCACTCTGAGGCCAAAGGAGGGGATTTCACCTGTTGACTCCACTTTGAATCAACAAACATTCAGTGAATTACGGATTCAGATGTGAACCTTATGTATTGTCACTGGGAAACTGTAGCACAGCCCTGGGAGAAGTGTGATGCTCACCACCCTTAGAAAGTGTCCTGAGGTCTGCTGATAGAAAGGAAAAGTTCTGTGTAATGTAATTGCAGTTTTTCTCAAATCGGAGCGATCTGGTATCTCCTGCAAAACCCCCATCCAGAGGCTTTTCTATAAGAAGTTATTTCGTTATCCATCTTAGACTTCCCTGCTGCGGCTCTTAAAAAGGTCATTCCTAAAAAAGTGCTTTTGAATGAAGGGAAATGTGGAATTTGGGGAATATTGTCAACAGTATTTCACCACTGAGCAGTTGTGAACCTCTGTGTGTTCAAAACATTGCTTTTCTTTTTAAGCTCTTGAAGGGTAAACTAATTGGACCTACTCTAATGTATTCATGGTTTGGGTTGAAAGAGACCTTAAAAGATCATATGGTTCCAACCCCCTGCCTTGGGCAGGAACACCTTCTACTTCACCAGGTTGCTCAATGACCCCTCCAGCGTGGCCTTGAACACTTCAGGGATGGGGCATGCACAGCTTCTCTGAGCAACTTGTTCCAGTGTCTCATCACCCTCATAGTGAAGAACTTCTTCCTAATACACCTTGAAACAAGGTTTACTGGGACTTCAGCCAGTCTCCCAGACTGTGAGGAAAGTGGGACTTTCATGTGGAATAGACAGTCAACACAAACCTCAGAGCAGTTAGGAAACAATCCAAGCAGGACTCAATAGATGGCAGACCAAGCTGCTGGAGGGCTCAAGATACTGACACACGTTAAGAACAGGCTTTTGTTTATCCATTTCAGGTATTCTGGTGCTTAAGGGGCAGAAGAAGAGCTCTCAAGAACCATGACAGGAACCGTGAAAATGATGAAAGTTAGATTTTGTGTTGAGATTAGACTATTTTAATGAAAGCCACAATTAAAATGTTACACTTGAAACTGCAGTGCAGAAGTCATGCCTTGTTTTTCTCCTGCTTTTGAAATGAGGGCTAGACTAGATTCACTGGCACCTGCATCCAGGTTGATTTATATAGTTTTAGGATATGCTAATACAAGCCAGTTCCATGCACAATTAATATTTCAGCATTCTTAAGTGCTAAAATTCCTCCATATTTGACTGTTTCCCTGCAACTTCATTTAAAAAATGTAGCAGGTCTGTAGTTACAATCCTTGGTCTTGAAAAACTTTGTAAACCAGATGGATTTTGAACTTCAGAAAAGTACAGAATTCTCAGCCAGTCTCACTTTATTGCTTGGCATAGAATCCTACTTGGTATTAAGAGTTACATATGATAATTGTATAATCTTTCCAATGGCTCCAGTCCATCCAGCCTTCATTTAGCCTTCACCTGGCTCTTGCAGTTGTTGAATGCTTTGTTTTAAAGTAACACTTCCCACACTCTCAGCCTGCCTTCTGTTTTGTGTAAATCTCGTCACAGTACCTCCTTGCAAGTCCAGTTGCTGCTTTGAGTCTATACATACAGGAATCAGCAGTAAAGTGAAATACAGTGTAAGGGAACCTATTGATATAGTGGTTATTTTTAGCATATGAAAGAGAGGCTTTAGTTATCTGCCTAGTAATAGAAAAACACCAAAATAAAGGTGATGTTTAAACTCAGCACACCAAGGAGCCCCATAACCTGGCTGAGTCTGCAGTAATGTTTGCCATGTACCCCAAGGTACCTCAAATAACTTTTGGGAAGCAAACCTGAGGAAACCATGAGGAAACATGAACTAGTTGCAAGCATTGCTGTGAAGGTGATCATGAGGGACTCCATGACAATGGGGACAAAAAGACTTACAAATTCCTGAAGCTGTGCCAACATGTAGCAGCCTTCCTTTGCATTCATGTGGTGTTACCACCTTGAGAAGAGCCAGTTGTCTGTTTATGACTGCCTATAATTTCCGTGGAGAATGTGAGTGCTGATGGCACCTCCAAAGATTAGCACTTGGAACAGAGATACATGAATATGGATTAATATATCTTCTCACTTAGGCAATCACCCTGAAAACACTGGTGGTTTAAGTTTTCTTGAGGTACCAGCTTTAAAGTGCTCTAGAAGTCTGTCCTTTGCTCTGAGTTGGTGTCTTCACAACCAGGTTTGGACTAACTTATGTTTTACCAAGTAAAAAATTATTAAGGAATGTATTTTGTGAGGCTTATTATAATTTATATTGTTTCCTTACAGGATTAAATTTACCAGTTTGGAGGAGGGAAACAAAAACCTAATGAGGAGGCCGACACCAGGAAGGAACCATGGCCTGTTTCCTTTCTTTCTCTATGGTGGATTTCATTCAAAAGAAAATTGGAAGCTGGCAAGACCCTGTTTTTTTCCCTGCAATTTATTTAAAACCTTGCACGCATTTGGATACCTTGTGATTTCAAAGAACTATGTGAAGATTAAGCTTTTGCTTACTGATACATGGCATGTACTCTTTCAGTCTTTTGTGTTTGATTTTGTTTGATTTTCCACTGCAGCTCTGCATCTTTGTAAGGATTTTTATGCTTTCACCAGCAATGTCTTAAATACATTAAGACAACACATTTGGTGTTCACACTTCCTCAGTAATGACTGTACAAGAAAAGCCAGTGGTGGCATAAAGGACTGTTTTCTTTGGGAGTTGTGCGTATTTTGCAACCAATGGGAAGACTATTTCTGCCAGAGCAAGCCCAGCTTGTCTGATCAGCTGACAATTACAGCACTTTGCAACTGTTCCTGAAGTGTTGTTGGGTTATTTCTTTTTTCATTATCTGCTCAGACCATTCATATCCATTTTAAAAACATGGCAATAATTGCATGTTTACTGCAGTACTCTGAATTTGGTTACTCTGCTTAGGCTATGTAGCATGCCAGTTTTCAAAATAGGCCCGTGAGAAGGACAAAGCAAAAATGATGACATGTACGCAGCTGACAGATATACAATGAACTCTTGATGGTTTTATTCCCTTCAAGAATATTTCTTTCTTTTATGGGTCTTGGCTAACATCTCTGTGTTTTTCCTCACACTGTTTACCTTTTGGAATGTTTTCTTGAAAGCAGAGATGATGAAACTGTTCTGTTTAATTCAAGGCAGATACTAAGGTACAGAAAAACTTCTGTTGAATGAGCCATTAAATCTAGCTATTACTTTGCCACATGCAAAGCAAAATGGAGGATTTTCCTTTCCCAAACTGTTTGCTGTTCCACACCAAAGCACCGTTCAAGTTATTTTCTGTAGGTATTCTGAGCTGATTGGAAGGCAGTACCAGCTACTGTTGTTAATAGCTTTTCTGAATGAATCATTCAAATGCAAACTTTTCAAGAAATGTAAGTTGTGTGATTTTAGAAAAGGAAGCCCCTGCTACAGTTTGGCTGAGGAGAACATTGTGTTCAGGGGTGTGATAAAATTGCCCTGACCATGTACAATGCTTTGCATTCAGAGAGGGCAGGGTATGGTGCAAAACCCACTGTTGAATTATAGTCCTGCTTGGACAGAAACGCTTGCTAGGCAATATTATTCTACATATAAATTTGACATCCTTTGCTTGCTGGATGCATTGAATTACATTTTTAAGAAGTGTGGTAACACTTTGGTTAGCTTTCAGTGTTTGAAAGGAGGGGGAAAGGATTTGTGCTACTGCCATCTTATTAAACTCCAGCAGTGTTTAATAAGAAAAAAACACCCAATAAGGCAAATCCTTGAATGCACAAGTAGCTTCCAAAGGCCTCTTAATGAACTAGGATACAAGGCTACACTTTCAAAGAGCTGAACCATGGAAATATGCTCAATACTTGCACAGCCATTGAAAAGACAGTTTTCCCCAATGACATCTCTGTTTCAGGATCTGGTAAAAGCCATCTGAAAGCGACTTTCAGTCATAATCCTGTTTAGAACTTCCTACAGTTCTTCCCCTGTGTTTATGAGGGGGAAAAAGTGATCACTGAACTCTTGAATTTATCACACACTGAAACTGCCTTAGACGTGGTTTGTTTGGGTTTCATGTTTCTTTTTTTTTGTAAGAGAAAAGTCTTTTATACATTATCTTTGCTACTTAAATCGTGTGCAGTTTGATGATTAAAATTAGCTATTTTTAGAAAAAAAAACTTGCAAAAACCTGAAGAATTTTTGAAAATGTAACAAAGATTACAATTAAGAATATAAGGGTAGTTTCATAGATGCTTCTACTTTGCAGCTTAAATTGTGAGGCGAAGAACTGCGCTGCTCAACTAAACATCTGAAGGTTTAATATAGAGGGTAATTCCCCAACTGCTCCCACGAGGCTAGCACATTAATATCCATCGTGACTTAGGTACAGTGTTTGCTTAAGGTATGTATGTGTGTATGTATGTGTGTGTACACACACATGCACATGAGATATCTTCTCTGCCCCATTCCCACTTCTAAGCAACCACAGAAATAGTTGGTCCAAAAACTCTTCAAACTCAGTTGCTTAAAAAAAGTGCATAAATATGTACGTTCCTAAATAGTAACTTGATTTTCAGCAGTAGTGAGGTTATCTCAGCTATCATTCAGTTAAGGAGTGACCAGGATCTCTTTCTTACGCACCTTGCTCACAGGCGTCCTGACTGCCTGCGGTGTGCTTGTGGGTTTGCTGCTCTCCCGTGGAGGCTCTGGGCCCTGGGGATGTTCTCCTGGCTCCAAGGGGACCCAGGTTCAGCAAGCTGGTGCCATTCACGTGAGCACTGCAAATTGTTCTGGAACGTCAACTCTGCTGGGAAATGTCAAGGTTTTATGAGAAAGTAGAAGGCCCTTTGTCCAGGGAACTGATAGTACAGCCTCATTTCCCTCTTCTTCCTATCAGCAGAGCCCTTACCTGCATGGTTAGCCCGACTGACACCCATCAGTTAGGACCCCCTGACAGGTAGCCCACCATCTCCAGCTCTTGCACAAGTGGAGTTTTCACCATAGCTCTTCTCAGTGTTGCAGAATGGACTGCAAGTATCAGTAGTGTTACTGTCTTTTTCTCTCATCCTTCCGAAATCAGGGGAGAGCAGCCACAGGGCTGCAGGTGTAGTAGGAGATGAAAGTGGGAAGGCATGTTCAAGCACTGCATAAACCCTAATACTAAGTGAATGGGGAAGGGAAGATGGTGATAGAGATGTTCTGCATGACACAGAGATTCCTTGCAAGTTCATATTCACAGAAATTGGCTTGACAAGTTAACCAGCTGGAGATGGCTTAGTCCTCTCTCCCCCTCGGTTCAGACCAGCTTTAATCCACCCCCAGCAGGCACCACACCAGTCAGGACACTCCGGTAATGCCGACATGTTACTGTATGGTATCCTGGATAGGTTGGGTCCTTCTCACTACTGTTTTCAATCAGAACCATTGTTTAGGGTAAGTCGTCAGTACATGCCAAGCTGAAGATTCAGTCTATAGCAGACAGAGGCACAGGGGCATTCACTTTCTCTTTGGTGCACAGGGGTTCTGCATTTCAGACTGCTGATTATAGAAGATAGGACAAAAATTCCCTGTGGGCCAATAAGTGATTATGGGCCTTGTGTGCTCTGGTCAGTGCACACAACCAAATGTGTAGTCAATGCTCTGATATGCTCATATGCAAAATATTCATATGAATATTATTGGGTTTGTAATCTTTGTTATATAAAACATTTAGGCTGTACAGACTGGGGAGCAAAATGCAGACACCCCATATAAACAGTTATGTTGCATTACTGAGCATAACATTACTCTCCCCTACCAGCATTTAGGTGGAGTGACTGTACGCTACTGCCTTGCATTTTTTTCACATAAGCAAAAAATCTAAAAGTAAAGGATGCACTAATAATTCCCATCCCCCAAAATGCATTTCAATGGTGCTGCATACAAAATCCCTGCTTGCCAGCTTTCACATGGATTTTTGTATGGTGCACTAAGAGGTATTCTTTTTTAACAAATAAAAAGGGGAGAGCTGGTACGTGAAAACAATGTTAATGTAATGAAACACATATATATATATATACTTCAGAAGAACAGCATAGTAAGCAGTACAGTAAAATAAGTGTCGCATTATTTGTTACACCTTGTAATTTGTCTGTATTATGAAAGATGTAATGGTTCGTCAGCTGTAACTGTTGTTTTCTTGTAACATCATATTGAATAAAGTGTAGCAGAATCTCTTTTCTCCTTCATATATGTGATCTACACCTAACCCAGGGAATAAAGCCCTTCTGTTACTTTTTGTTCTCCAAAAAATGAACACAGTAAATGGTTGTAAATAACAGATTTTTAAGGAAAGAAAAGTACTTAGAAGCAGGCAGGCACTAGACAGTAATGAGTTGAAAAGGTTAGGCACTGATTCAATCAAACACATGAGCTTAATCAGAACTACAAGGCAGTGCTGACTACATAGGGCAAGGTTGTTCGCATTTCTGTCTGTAATAGTTAGAAAGTTAATTATTTGGTGTCTCTTTCCATTTTGTTGTGTGTGGCAAGGGACCTATTTACACTACACTGGGATTTAATTGAAGTAGCAGAAGGGCCAGTTTCCTAGGGAAATAAAAGATCTGATTTGAATCTATGATAATGTGGAGAATAAACTTAGGCTTATTGCAACTTCTCTTGAATTAAAAACCTGATAACTCTGCTAGAAAATCAGGCAAAACATATGATAGGCATTTTTCACAACTTTGATATGGGAGTGTGATTTACATCTGTCCATACTAGGTTATTTATCTCAATCTGTGAGTATGTAGTTTTATTCTTCACCTGCACATTTCTTTGCACATTACAGTATTAGACACACAAATGCTCACTCACACTGAATATAATCAACATGTACCTTCAGTATTTTCTCCTCCTTTCCATTGCTTCTAGCTTTTTTGGTACTGACGTCTTGCTAGAACCTATTTTTAGACAATGAAAGTTAGATCAATTGCACAATTGCACAGGCTTAGTTTGAATATTTGGCTGAAATATCAGAATATGCTGTTTCAGCAAATACAGGAGTTTATAGGGGTCTGATAGTTTTGACATCATTTTGGTCTGGGATAGGGGATGGCTGTAGAGCAAGTGCTTGTACTCTCTAGCCCGATGGGGAAGCCACTGTCCTAGAACATGGATAATGGAGGACTGAAATTCTAGTCTTGGCTCCAGCTGATCAGGAGTAAATGAATATAAAATAGTCTTCCTTTTACCTACGACAATATAGGCTTGACTGTGGGCCTTCAGTGTCACAGGTTTTATCTCGTAGAATAATTTTCCTGCCCAGTTCTGATGGCAAATCTCTTCAGGAGAAGAATCTTTACTTTTTATCTGGAAGGTTGCCACAAAACGACGTCAGCTGCACCCAGAGGGCACTGCACAAAAACAAACCAAGAAAACACATGCATGTTCATCTGTTTCTATTTTAGCGGAGGTTCTCACTGGCTAGGCCAAATTTATGAAGGTGGTGTCTTTTCGTAGTCTAGATGAATAATTTGCGCTTTCAGCTAAGTATCTGATTTGTTCAGTACTCCTGACTCACTACCTGTGTGGCAACTTTAACCTACAGATCTCTCAGATACAAATGAGAACCAAGAATTACTACCTAAAAAGGTTTGTATGTTTGAGCACTGTGTACCAGGAAGAGCATTCAGAGTGAGCTTTTAATTATGTAGTCTAATCCTTAAAGCCGTCTCCTGACCCCCTTGGCTGCACTCCTAGCCTGTTTAGCCCCAAGGTTTTCTTCTTAAACCAGCCTGGCTGCTACAGCAAAGCAAGAGATGCACATAA